CTCGCAGTGCGGCTGAGGCGGCGCTCGGCTCTGTGTCCCCGCAGGTCGTGGAGCGCTGCGTGGCGGCCGCCGGCTACAGCGTGGGGGAGTTTGCGGCACTGGTCTTCGCTGGAGCCCTGGGCTTTGCTGAAGGTGCCTGGGGAACGTGCGGAGCTCCCTGCTGTTTCCAAAGCGTTGCCTGTTATCACTGTGTCCCTCCCGCTTTTTATTTTTAATTAGAGAACAGATTTTACTTTCTGCTTCCACTGTTCGCTTTAACATATGTAATGCGGCATTAAAAGCATTGAGTTTCACGAGAGTGAGCAACTGCCATTTCTTGCGCGCAGGTGCCCGCGCTCACGTTCACGCAGCATCTCTGTTTCTCTCCGTAGCGCTGTACGCGGTGAAAGTGCGCGCCGAAGCCATGCAAAAGGCGTCGGAAGCTGTCGCCAGTGGAATGCTTTCGGTTGTCGGCCGGCGAGAGGCAAATTACAAATTTGCCTGCCTGGAAGCCCGTAAACACTGTGAATCGCTGGGTATAGAGAACCCCGTGTGCACAGTTTCAAACTATTTGTTTCCAGACAGCAGAGTCATTGCAGGACACTTACAGGTATTGCTTCAAGAGTAATTATTCCTTCAGTTGAACTGAGCATTTCACTTTTCAAAAACTTTTACTTTGCACTTCTGTGTGGGTGTTATGTACAGCCTTAGTTTGTCCAAACAAAAATATTTGATCTGTGGGTTGTTTTTTTTTTCTGGTATGTGTTCAGTTGTTTGGTAGGGAAAGGAATATCTTTATCACAGTAAGTCTGATGAGGTGATTCTTGTGAGGTGACTGAGCAAACCTTTGTTGTGCAAGACTCACTTCTCTCTCTCTTTTATAGGCTTTGGAGTTTTTGCAGGAGAATGCCCGAAAATATTATTTTAAACGTACAAAAATGCTCCCAGTCAGTGGGGCTTTTCATACCAGCCTCATGGAACCAGCAGTAGAGCCACTGGCTGAAGTCCTAAAATCAATTGAAATTCAGAAACCGCTGCTCTGTGTGTATTCCAATGTCGATGGCAAAAAGTACATGCATTCAAAGCACATTCAAAAGCTGTTAGTGAAGCAGGTGGTGTCGCCTGTTCTGTGGGAGCAGACCATGCACTCAGTGTACGAAAGAAAGCAAGGAACAGAATTTCCTTACACATATGAAGTGGGGCCCAGGAATCAACTAGGAGCCATTCTCAAACAATGTAATTTGAAGGCCTGGAAACAATATAAACATGTAGATGCTCTGGAAGATGAGGAAGCAACAGAGACTTAAATAACCTTTTGAGAAAAATCCACACGATTCCTTTTTTTTCTGATTTAAAACTTTGTGCTCCCAAAAGAGGAAGTCTTAAATATTCTTATGTTGTAAAGAGAACTATGTGTGTAATTGCAATGAACATTTTCCGTTGAGTTCCTCAGGTGTGGAAAGGGGAGAGCAAAGTTTGGCCTTCCATCTGTGTTGGGACCGCAACGCTGTCAACAAACAGGCCAGGTAGCATTGTTTGGCCTCAATCCTGCAAGCAACTTTTTCTCTTGGGTTTCTCTTTTGTTTGTTTTTTTTCAGTTGATTATTTTTTGGGGGAGTGTTTTGGATGTGGATTCAGGTTCCAGTTGGTAGCCTTGGCTGTGTGATGCAGGGATCTTCTGCAGGAATGTGGGGGTTGTTGTTGGCTCCAAGTTGTAGAGGGCTCTGTTCTGGGCTGGAGGGTGCATTTGGAGGAGCCATTTCTTGGGATGGCTTTCAGGTGTGTTGATGTTCCCATTTTCTTACTCAACTGACTTGTGGGGTATTCATCTATGTAAAGTTCTCTTACTTTGTGTCCACATTGCCAGGTAGCAGCTGAGCGAGGCAAATGATGTTACTAGAAAAATTATTTTCTTATGGTTAAACTATAAATAAACTATGAAGCTTTTCTTGCTCTTTTTAATGCTTTGGGGTGCATCATTATTGGCTCTGTCCGCATGTGGATGGAAGTAACTTTCCCTCCAGTTGTCCAATGCCACATTGGTTGTGCTGAGTTAGACAAGAAATGTTCACTGGGAAAAAAAAAACTTAACGAAAATATTATTTACATTTCCTGGCAGCAGGAAATGATGAACTAGAGAGCATCAGGTTGTCCCAAACCCTCCTGGAAAGAGCTTCCCATTTCCCAGCTTTTTGGTATTTTAATGCTGTATTTAGCAAATATATAGAAAAAAAATAGGATATATTACTTAAATCAAACGACTGACAATGTCTTCAGTAGTGTATTATGAAATGCAGGAGAACTTCCAATTACAGTACCAATCATTCTGTAATTTCACACTTGTGACAGGGAGAGTGAATTGAAAACACTGGCCCTTATTATTGTTGCTAAGTGGGCTGTATTATTAAACAGTTCTTTCGTGGACTGCAGCTGGCAGCTGTGCCTCCCCTTCTAGTACAAATTCCACTTCTAGCATGTGTAAACATTAACAATCAGCAAAATAGTATAGAGTTATTCAGCTTCACCATTGGACTGCTAGAAGCTGATGAGTAAGGGTTGGAATAACTGTAAAGAAAATTATTATTTCAGTGAAGGTTCCTATGTTACAGGTAAGACATTAATTACTCAGAAAAGCATACCAAAGTCTTCAGTTAGAATTATCGGTTAGAATATTGCAACTAAGTCCCATTCATATTATTAAACACTGTGTTGTCCTGTGTTAGAAGTTTCTGACCACACCTTTTAAGACCAAACACAACATTCATGACTTTCAAACCAGGCTTTAAGATAGCTGAAACTGAGTGTGGTATGTTGGTGGCACTAATTTTAGTGCTTTAAAATTTCTGGACTTTCTTTTTATTTAACCTTTCATAGGGAATGTTGGAGACTTGTTTTCTATTTTGTAGTGTTCTTGACATAATTTTTTTCATTTTTTTCCCCCCTCATTTCATTTTGTTGTACACTTTGCTCGGAATTAAAGCTCTTTGGGAAATCCAATCTAGAAATCTCTTGTTTGCAAACCATTAGATAACCTCTGTGCTTTTGTCAGCTGCAAAATGCTGAAGGGAAATCTGTATCCTAAGGGCATTCCAATCTTGTGGGTCTTGGTTAATTAGTGGGAAGAAGGACCCATCACCACTGTCGGGTGTTTGCTTTTCTTCTGTGCAGTGGTTGGAGCTGAGGCTTCTCCTGAATGAACTTTGTGTCTCCAAAAGCAGAAGCCAGAGGGAATCATGCTCTTGTGTTGATGCTGCAATTTCTAGGAGCAGAAAAAGCGTGATGGAGGTCTTTGTACCTCTGTATGGAGAGTATTCAGGGCTTGATTTTGTGTGGTGCCTGTTAGCAGAGCCTCACCTCACATGCGCTTTATCATTGGCTGTGGCTGGGCACACAGTGCCCAAGTAATTACAAATCCTAGATTTCAGAGCATTTCTTTAATGCGTTTGCTCATCTATCCCCTCTGCTTCTGGAAACTGGGTATTTGAGAGGTGGCGAACCAGCATGGCTCCTTTGCCTATGAACAAGCAGAAACAGGATGTGGAAGAAAATCAAGTGCCATAAATGCTGTCACATATGAGAAAGTGTGCAGTGAAAAAAAAACAGAATTAATATTGGGTCTCCTGGGTCACTGTGGGGTGTGACAAAAGGATTAACTAACTGTGCTCCACAGGTGAAAGAGGAGCCTGGCACTGACTGCTCTGTGGTACTCCAGTTAGTGCTGATTGCTGTGGCTTTGGATGTCGTTTGTGTTGTGTTTAACTTGTTTCTTTGCTGGGATTGAATTTTGTATTCCTTGAGACTGTGTTTTTCGCCATACATGGTGGATGATGAAATTCCCCTCTCTTGTGATTCAAAGCCTTACGTTATGGATTACAAGAATGGGAAAAAGCAGTCACCCCACACAGCTCTTGGATGAAATAGGCAGTGAAGAGTCTCCTGTTCATCATCACTCCCCTGTGCGTAAAGGTTATTTATCTAGAAACAATTATTAAATTGTAGTATAGTATTTATTTAGGTAGTATTAAATTTATTCAGCTGGGAAGAGTCAATTTTTTCATAGCTAGTACTTTTATTACACATGAATAATTTATTAGACCCTCCTGATGTTAAATTTTACCCTTTACTAAATAATAACTTTAGCATATTTTTCTATCACACAGTTATTATGGAGCTCAGCAGAGCAGTCAATTCACTGATAAAACTTTAGTCTGTTTTTTTGGCTATGTGTGCCAACTTCTGGCCTGTGTGTGACTCCAGTTCCAGATGTATTATCTGTGCTTTTCTAGGAAAAAACTTTTCTATCTGCTGCTGAAGGGCTCATTAGCTTGAGAGCATTTTGGAAAAATGTGACACTGGAATGTATGCTGCTGCTGCTCCTGCTGGAATTTCTGGGGTATGCTCGAGCCATCACCCTTTACTTTCCTTCTTTGTCTGCTTTCCTTTTGCTCTGCATTTCAAGTCATTCCAAGATACTTCAAAATCCTTTGCATTAAATGGTCAAATGATATAGTCTAGTGGAGCTTCATTCATTTTTTTTTTCCCAGAAACATTTTTTGAGGTGGGCACTTAGGATCATAATGGGATTTAGGCACCATTCATTAAAGAGAGGAAGCATGTTCCTCAACATGCTTAAATTTGGCATTTGTCTTCACTGTAGAGGGGTTTAAATTCCTTGTCTGACTTAAAGCAGAGACTTGAAAGTCCAACTTCTCTGATGAGTGCTTAGATCATGAATCCATTGAATATTGTATTTTCCTGATTTAAAAATACACTAAGGGTAAGAGTTGCTTTTCTGGGCAAGAAGCAGGCATCCCCTGTGTTGAGGGGAATATCCAAACCACAGAGAAGCACTTTGGTTTTCTCTCACTGAGTCTGTAGCTGGATATGGAAAACCAGCTTCAACAGAGAAGAAAAGATGCACTCGGGCACAAATGGGAGATTATGAGAGAGGAAAAACTCAACTGTGCCCTAATGGTCACCTGTGGAGTCCAAGAAGGTGACATCTCAACTATCTCCAACCCTGTAAGTTGTTCTCATGTTCCCCTCAGGCTTCTATTCCCTCCGAGTACGTGCCTTGCAAAAAGACATGCATCCTCTGAGAAAATCCCCTCTCAGAACCCATCAAATTCTTGGGGTTTTGTTCTGAGCAGCTCCTAGTTTCACTTTGAAAAGGGGCAGAACATACTGCTGTCACTGTGTGATAGCAGAGTCTTGGAAAATCAAGTAAACAACACTGCAAGAGGTTTGAAGCAACAATTTAATTTTAAAAAAGTATCATGGTATTAATGTTTACTATTGCTTTTACAGTCTTAAAATTCAAAGGATGGCCAGCATGCCTTCAGTTTTCCTCACATCCAGAATCTCCTTAACAAACTCATTTATAGGAAATAGACACTTTATATTGCATTAAAATAAACACAAAAAAGACAAACTTTCTAATCGCCTGGAGTCACATTTCAAAACTAGCAAGTCAGGCAGTTATCCAGCAACAACCTCCTTATTTTAAAAGATTTTTCTTAAAAAAAGATACAGTACAGCAGTGGCCCAGCACTAGCCTAGGTTTTAAATATTAAAGAGACTTGTATCAGTGTAAATCTGAAAAACAAACCAGCTGTCACCACTGGGGTGTCAGTGATGTTGGTCAGTGTCCAGCAATGACCTTCTGTTTTAATTCTGTGTGTTAATTCTACAGTCCATAATTCATGGCCCACCAAAAGGCAGCAACAAGCAAGGCTGCAGGCACCAGCTTCTGGCAGAGGCACCTCACAGGAAGCCTGCAGGTCTGCAGGAAGAAAGGGGATGGTAATTAGAAATAACAAGCAGCAAAAAGAAGGTGAAAGGAAACTAAAAGAGTGCTCATGTGGGAGGTCAGAGGACCGACAGCATGATCTAGTTCTGCTGCAGAAATGCAGAGGGGGGTCAATTTTACTGGGGGTTCCAGCCTCTAAAGAATCCTCCTCTCTTCTCTGGGTTAGTATCACTGGCAGCAGCTCTCCTCATCTCCCCAGGGAGACGCTTACAGCATTTCATAGTGGCAGGTGCCTCCCCTCTGAATGGAACCCTGTGAGTTGTGTGAGATTTGGGCAGCATCCTCTGTCTTTAAATGAGAAATCTCAGCCTAAAGAGAAAAAAGCAGGGCACTAAGGGGGCACCAACAAACTGAGAGATAAACCCTAGCCTGAAGCCACATTACATGCTTCACTCACTGATATCACAAGGGAGTCAGGTGTTCCTGTTGCCTGCTTGCCAACAAAGAGGTGGGAGAAAAGGGAGAAAGCATACCCAGCCTCCACAGCCACTGATCCACTTTGTCCAGTTACTGCTCACAACATCTCCAAAGCTTCTTTTAACACTTTTAATAACATTCCAGGTCTGAAAAACACTGATAGCAACCCTTATGATTTCAACAACAACCAAAAAAAAAAAAAAAAGCATAAAGATTGAAAATTTATTCTAAAAGTGCTAAATAAAATACCAATGATTAGGAAAAAAAAAAAAACCAACCAAAACAAAACCAAAAAAACCCTTTAGTATATTCTTCCCTAAAAGTGTATGTGTACATGTATATTTATCTAAATATTTAAGAAGAAGACCTTTGAAATCTAAAGATAATATAGTTTCAGAATTAAGTGATTAAGTGACAATCTTTCTGGTTGTTTCAAACTTAGAAGAGCATAACCCAATGAGAGATGTTTATGTCTGATTAATCAGGACAGCAATACAAGACTGACACAGCAATGCTGCAGGCTCTCTCTGTAGTGTGAATCCAGCTTGGCTGAGATAGGAGGTGTATATATATGTTATATACACATACATTTATACATTATGCTACACAGCTGTAATTGATCTGCATTCTGGTAGGTCTGCAATGAGTGACCATCCCTTCCCAGAAGCAAGGAGAAGATAAGGTAGAGTACCTGGGGCTTCAGACACAGCTGAGTATCTCATGTTAGGACAATGCATGTCAGTTAATTACTATGCAAGACAAGACCTTCAGCTCACAGTAGATAGAAGGCAGTTCAAACTAGTCCAGCTATGTTTTCTTGTATGTGCATGGGTAAGTTACATGCAGTAACATGTTACTCTCACACTGGGTTGCAAGTCAGTTATGCTTAAAATTGTGTCTAAAGTTACTGTGCCTCTGAGGAATTTGAAATAGCAAGACACTATTTAAGTCTTCTGACTGTAAATGGCTGTAGTCCGTGGAAACAATTCACATTTTACATTATTACAAGCTTTTCCTAGTAAAACAAGCTGCTTTGCTTTTCTATGTTCTGTAGGAAGCAGCAGCAGTAGTAGCAATAATTTTTTGTATTTTGTATACAGAAACATTCTTGTTTATCTAACATGATTTTTAAAAGGATCTGCCAAGAAGGTAACTTACACTCTTGCCAGGTGAAGCAGTGTTTCTTCTAATGTCCTGTGGTACCTCCTGTTAAATTCATCCCCAATCAGGGCCAGCTGATGGCCAATCTGAGTAGCTGAGCTGCAAGGAAGTCAGGATGTGCAGATTAGAGGAGAACCTTGCAACAGCAATTCTTTGAAAGCACTCTGCAAATGTCAGGGACTGTTAATCCCCCAACTTGGGCTAAACTGGGGATGCAAAAGTGAAATGTTACAGGGGGTTTTGTTTCCCATTATTTATGGGTTTATTGATTAAGTATTTTATGCCCATACATGAAGTGTTTCGATGTTTCCACAAAAAGTTGCATATTTGGCACTTTTGTAAAAATGTGTTGATTTTGTAGGTGTTTCAGTTCTTTATACAATACAATGGGATTCTGGTTTGTGGTTTTTGATTATCCCACTCCCTCCCCTGCCCCCCCCAAGTTAAAATATTGGAACTGTCTTCAATTCAAACCTTTAAAAATCTTTCATCTTACAAAAAGGTTGGCTTTGTCATCCAACAGATTTACTCCAATGAGTTCCACTGTGCAATGTGGGTCTCCAGCTACTGGGTGGTGCCCAGGTACAAACTGACCAAAACCTTAAGGCTT